TGTTATAATCAGTTCTGCTATTTTTCTTTTCCAGTTTATTCAGAAACAAAATTATGTTTAAAACATTTATAAACCAAGGGCTAATCTGGTTTTATTTAACGAGCAGTCAATACCGCTAAACAGATCATTAAAAGATACCACGTATATTTCATTGTGTCTAAAAAACGTATTCTTACAAAAACGTGTCTCCATTCTTACTGTTTTACATTGTGATTGGTAGTATATGCGCATTCTATATGTTTTGAAGCAAACATTTAATCGTCATTATCATCAAGTGCCTTGCCGACTGGCGTGGGCGATCATGCCTCTCCATAATCCACGATCTCCTGCAGCATGTATCAGTTCGTGTGCCGACACACCTTCATGCCATGCAACAAGACTGTAAAGAAACTTCTCTCGTTGTCTTCCTCTATCTCTCCTTCCACAGATCCTTCCAGTGGTCACAACATGTTCTATTTTCCCTCTTCTCAACATGTAATACATTTATTATCAAATGTTGACGGTTGTTTTTGATCAGTCGTATTGAATTCTTCTGTGTGCTTCTATTATAGTGATCCAAATATGGTATTAACGACTGTGCCAAGGAAAAGATAATACAAACATGACTAAATTAGGTTTGGTCAAACGCCTTGTTTGACAGCAAGAGCAAGCAATACTCCCGAAAACATACAAAAACAAGTTATTCCAATGGTGAAAATGTCAACTTTTTTTGTTTTATACAATGGGCTGAAACCACTGATTCGGTTTTGTCAATTAATTGATAACTCGTCTGTATTTTGTTTGTTTGTTTTAGTATCCAGAAGCCATGAGTTGTTAACTCTTAGGCACGGTATTATGGATATCGCAACCTTTGGGCCTTGATTCCATTGTAAATACCGTAAATCTGGGAGAAAATGTGGCTTTTCTGCCTACCCCCCGGGAGTGAACCCAGACCACAAGGAGTTCGTCACCCGCTCACCGCGCAATCCGGTTTAGCCAACTACGCTAGAGAGCCAGGCCGTCTGTCTTTTCGGTGGCATATCTAACATATGTTATTTAAGGCTGTGTAAAGCTTAAACATGAAAAATAAAGTTAGTTGCGTATTCTTTACAGGACGTTGCAAAACCAACAACACCAAGACTTGGCTGTTATGGTTTTTCTAGGCAAAATTACATAGCCTAAACATAACTTTAAGGGAAAATTTCAACATTATTATATTGTAAAACCCACTCAAAGTGCTCGTGGGCGGGGGGGGGGGGGGATAAGTTAAGGAAACGGTAAACTCAAACACACCGTCTCATCGTTTCCTCGTCACAATGAACGGTTGGTAAATAAGTAATGTTAAAATTCTGATCTTGCAGCTATAGTTCAGTCATATTTAGATTTTCTGGTAGAGTTCAGTCTTTATTATTTTCCAGATCTATCATTAATAACTAGTCGTGGAAGTAAACGAGAAATCCTTTAATTATTGACACCGATGTACTGTCACGTCCTATTCAAGAGGGAAAAGATTGAGCTGATGTGTAATTCAAGGACTAAGGATGATTTCACGTTTTTAGCACAGTATCTCGCAACGTATTCTCGTGTGGTCAAATTAGCTATAAATAATGGTATTTATTGGTCCTTTTTCTCCACATACCTTTGTACCTTTGTGAATCCGGATTTCCATGTTTAACGGTCATAAAAAGAAAACCGCGCTGTCGGTGTGATGTGGAGAGTGACGTCCGTTGTTCCTTGCCCAACATCAAACCACAAAAAGCAGCTATCATCACGAGAAAATTGTTCAACCACCACATTGATATCCGGACACTGAATTACCAGTTGTTAGTGATAGTTTCTTTTACGTTATTAGACACTTTGATTTATGTGGAAGTTTTTCTCCAAGTTCTCTGTCTCTATCCATTTATTTCTCATTCCACTACCTGTTTGGTGTCAAATTCTCCTCATTTTGCACCCAAAATACTACCCCTTTTTAGCGTTATAACGGTTGACACCAGAAGTTGCTAAGATATTTCTCTTTTTTTACAAGTACTTTTTATAATCACAGAATGTCCGGCTCGCTAGCGCAGTTGGTTAAAACCCTCAGCGCAGCGACCGGGTGACGAACTCCTTGTAATCCAGTTCACGCCCGGGAGTAGGCAGAAAAGCCAAATTTCTCCCAGATTTACGGTACCTATCATGGAATCAAGGCCGAAGGGTTGCGATATCCATAGTACCGAGCCAAAGGGTTTACAGTTCATGGTTTCTGGACACTAAAACAAAACAAAAAATATAGAAAAGTATCGTCACATGTAAATTGCTAAGCCAAGAATACTTAACTGCATGATCGGTTAAATATCTCCATCTCTGCGTCTGTTACAGGATAGATACCACTGTATACAATAACATTAGACCCAGCGTAGTCTGAACACTCCAGCTGGCGTTTGATTGGACGACCACAGAACCATGGCGACCCGTTGACATCTGTGAGGTTACACAACTCAGTGGGTTCAAATCCTGGCACAACTGGAGTGTGGTAACACGGAGTGGCTTCACTTGTCTGTCATACATGAACAAATGTTTATGTAAACAGGTGAAGCAATGCACGTCTACATTAGGCAACAGGTTATGTCATAAGTGTAGAATACTCCAGTGTAACAAGCTCCATTTTGTACTGGGTCCAACTGAATGACATAATAAATGCTTCCGCAATTCTGCCGAATTTGGGTTCAAGCCCATGTCCTTCGGGCACGCAGCGAGCCTCTATCCACTGCGCTACCCCGGCTCATAGGACACAAATGGCTGTAAATCAGCGAATGTCAAACCTCACTGCTGAGATAGAAAAATGGGAGACGGGAAACAAATGAACTGACCAACTGGAATGATAGGTATGGTTTGTTAGGAAACTAGGTGCTTTCTTAATATCCTACCCTAAACAGCGGAAATCCACACTTCACGGGACAGTAAAATATTTCAGGGGCTGGTAGATAGGCTGCATGCAGTCATGGGACGTAGGCTGCACTCTCTCGTGGGACGTAGGTGGGTTGGGTTAGGGCCAGTTCTAGGTGTTTTAGGGTCATTAAAAGCATCAGAAAGCCGGGAAACCCGCTGTTACCAACCTCTAAAATGTTGGACAGTCCTGTAACGTCATCTGGGTGTAGGATAGTACGAAAGAACCAGAAACTATCGAAAATGACTGCCCACATCACCTGACAAAGTATTCGATCGTCGTGAGTATACATACATATATATGGTGTGTGTGCGGGTGTATGTGTGTGTGTGTGTTTTGTTGCAAGCGTGTGTTTATATGTTTAGCAGCTCACTGTATTCTTGTTGAATACTGCAGCAATATGCCGAAATGTTTTCAGCACTTGATGGACGTACAGTTGGGCTCTGATATACTCCCTGGGGTAGGCTAATGCGACATGTAATCTGCGGATGCAAACAACGAAACAGTTAGCAGTCTTAGTTGCTCTTTAGTGACACAGTCTATTAAATTGTGTGCGTGTGTGTGTGTTTGTGTGTGTGTGTGTTGTGTGTGGTGTTTGTGAAACATATCTAACAATCTGTAAAATGAGATGTCTGAGAAAGGATATGAACAAAAACCATGAAAGAGAAATGATGAGATTTGAGGAATCATTCGAATAAGCCAACAAGGAATCCTACGATGCCTACATTGAGAACGTACAGCATGAGAATGACAACACCCAGAGGCCGACATGTACCTAAAGGATGATAAAATGAAGTAGTCACTGATAGCCCAAGACTTAACAACATAACTGCTAACTGCCAACTGCCAAAGTCTGTCCAATCGGGAACGTCTGTCCGATAAACCAACCGTCTATTTGTCACTATGGTCGCGCAGGTAGGCGCGTAATTTGCTACAGCAGCCACGGTATATATCCCCATAACCTCAGCACCTGTTGCAAAATCATCATAACGTCTTGTCCGTTTGTCCGATAAGAGCAGCAGAATTCCGAGGCCTTGGAGCTATGACCCAGGTCGCTCTCCGAGATTGTCGAGGGAGTTAGACAGGCTGAAACAAATTTTGAAAAGGGGGACACGTACTGAAGATCAGTAGACTCCTGCTGTGCATGTTCCCGTTGTAGAGTTCTTCGTATTGTATTGCATCACAGCCTACAAAAAAAAAAAAAAACGCTTAACCCAAATCTTAGTATTACTCTACATGGCGACTGCTCTGTGTAAAGTGGTCGTTTACTTTGTACTGTTCTAACCAGGGTTGCCAAATAAAAAAAATGCCAAACCATTACCCAAAATATGCCAGAAAATGCCAAATAAAGTGTAACATTGTATCACTTCACATTAAAAGCTCTATATTGAATTCTTCACTGTCATCCTCACTGGAACCAATGGAAGATAGAGCTTAAACCTTTTTTAATGTAAAATCTTTAAGCATTTTCTCAGATGGGATTAAGTCTTTGCAACTCATCTATAATGATGGCATATTTCTTGTTCCGAAAATCATCAATAAGGTCATCCTTAAGTGCAGGCGATATAATATTATTTATTAGGAATGAACATTTATTTCGTTATATGCAACTGTAAATGCTCCAATGTACTCTGGCGACTATGCGTTCTCGTGAATTCACTTAGATGATCAATGGTGCGTATTGCACAATGGCAGGTCATGCTTACAGCAAGTTGCAACTCTGCTGCCTTTAACTTAATCATTACTTTGCCTAGAAGTCATTGTTGTAATAAGCTGTTACTGGCTTTTTGACGCAGTTTTCATCCTGTGTTTTTCGGATTTTTCATGCTTTTATATGCTACTAATTCTTGGTGCATAAGTGCACTGACACAGTTTACAATATGCTGCCTCTGATCCGTCTGAAGATCTTTCGAGCCGTGGGTATGTTTTCTTCCAGTTACTATTATACTTGCAATGTCATAAGATGCTTTCCATTTTTTGGATGACGTGGCTATTGGTAAAAGTAATAAAATCTACCACAGATAGAACTATGTCTATATCCTCTCTATTTTCTGTCCTCAAGTAGTTTTTGAACAGTCTGAATCACTTGATATCAGTGGTGGGTTTTGGTTTTATATCCCGCATTTATTCTAGTAGATTAACATAAATTACAGAGGGCATTGGTTTATCGAAGTCACGATCCGTTTAGGAAGACAACAAATACAAAATGAAAGGGCGCGAATTTCCACTGGTCCGTACCAGGACATCACAACAAAGTCAAACTGAAATAAAGATGTTAACTGTAGGTAAACATTGCCAAGAAAAACCCAAATATGCCATAATATGCCACTTAATTATCTTATGCCAGTTCAATTTCAAATTTGCCAAATTTGTGGAATCTGGCATACAAAAAATGGCAATATGGCAACCCTTGTTCTAACAACAGCAAAAGTACGCATTATGTAATAATAGGACAACCCTCTCTGGTTTAAATGTGAGGCTGTGTTATGATAAATAAATTTATGAGATGTTGAGTCTTGTGCCTTTACACATTCTGTGACATGGCATATGCCTATGGGGTACGTATCACGAACTTTCCCGGCGCGAGATTTTATGTCTGCTTACAGCGTTGAAAATAACAACACGACACCCCTAGAACATAGGACAGCCCGTGGGAACGGCCACGTCATGAATGGGAGCCGCCACGAAATCTCGCGGGATACGAGCAAGTTTATGATATGTACCGGCTATGGTGTTCAGTCCTCCTCCTCGTCGTCTTTTATTCCGACAGACATTTCCTATAAAATTATGCAGATTGTCTAGTGAACAGTTTTTTTAGTCTGGGTTGACTCCAAAAGTGAAATGGTTGGACTAATCTCTGCAACGTGTGTGGACTGGACCATGTCTAGTCTTGGCAGGCAAGCTCACTAACAACTGTACCACTTATCATTTACTTCCTAGGGTAGGCCTCGCAGAAGTGGATCAATACATTGACGGATATTTTTTTAAAGTCAGTTGCCTATCCTGTACGGACGTTAGAGAACCAACCGCGGCATATTTTGGCTGTTTGTTATTTTACTAGGCAATGTATACATTTAGTAGTTTGCCTTGTTACTAACTGGTCGGCTTTCGATACCACTGTTGAAACCAACTAGGCGGTCTGCTTCCATATTACTCGCAGCTGAGATCTATCATGGCACCATGGAATTACGAAGCGCATTCGCAAAGCCTAAGCCATAGACGCAACGATGGACATCTGCTTCTGTCTGTCTAACCCCCAATGAAGCGAAGGCCCTAAATCAGCTCCCACAAAGTCATTCTTTCCTTCACTGTTGCATGCAGCCCCCCTCCCCCCTCCCCCAAGTCCTCCCCATATTTTTATCTTCCCTCTCTAGCTCCCTTGTCCGTGTTTTTTTTTTTTGTTTTTTTTTTTTTTGTCTGTCTTTATTTCTATGCCCCTGTGGGTTCCAGTGCAAAGACATTCTAACATTCTAATTATCTTGTTCTCTGTTTTCTCAAAGTGTGCCCTATCCACTTTCGAAATACCTTGGGCGTGAAAGCGCATAAGGGAAGCGACTTACGAAGGACAGCATATCTTTCGGGAAGTGATTGGGGGGGGGGGGGTGCAGTAATAAGTGCGATATTGTACAAAGTACTTAACACATAAATAAAATAGTTTGCCCACTTAGAAATAATGCCTTGTGATGCTATATGATAAAAGTCACATAACAAAATAGCAAAGGGATGCTGTAACTGAGGAAGAGCAACAAAACAATGTGAGGATAACATAAGAGAAACCCTGAAACAGTACAATTTGTCTATGATCGAGACATTCAGGAGACCAAGAACCAGAACCTCACTCAACACCCAAACCCCATGTACACAAAATTCAAGATGGGCGTATCAGCCATGTGCACCTGTGGAAATGACAGCAGAGCATGTACTCCAGGACTGCACCGAATTTGACACATTAAGGCAAACCTTTTCTCCAGAAAGCAGACAACAGAACATGTACTCCAGGACTGCACCGAATTTGACACATTAAGGCAAACCTTTTGGCCAGAAAGCAGACAACAGAACATGTACTCCAGGACTGCACCGAATTTGACACATTAAGGCAAACCTTTTGGCCAGAAAGCAGACAGCAGAACATGTACTCTAAGGACTGAACCGAATTTGACACATTAAGGCAAACCTTTTGGCCAGAAAGAACAACAGTGGAACGTAAACTCTATGGACCACTGAATGAACTAACAACGACAGTGAAATTTATACAAGAAACAAAACTGCTGATATAGACAACTTATTTCAGGCGAACGAAAGAAGAAGAAGAAGAAAAAGACTTAACACCTAAATCGGCATAACAAAAGTAAAGAGAAGAAGAGACTTGCTGCGCGACACATTTGTACCTTAGCTTTCCCGCCCATAGAAGAGGTGCGCTGGCTATGTAGCTTCCGTTGTGGAGGTCGACCACTTTGGCTGCCATAGAGGACTTCGTGGAATCGTCTGCAAGCCACACTCGGATCTGATCTCCACCCTTTTGTTTAGGTTGACCACTACTGTCTTTCATGACTATCTTGAATGCCACAGTCTCGCCAACTTTGAACTGCAAACTAATTATTAAAATACTGTTATTAACTATGAAAAATGTATGAATGAATAACTGTATACAAGAATTGGAGTGAAAGGGCAGAATTTTAGACGGGTCTGCGTGCCCGATTCTCAACCCTTTGAAAAAAAAGTTCATCTATCTATCTATCTATCTATCTATCTATCTATCTATCTATCTATCTATCTATCTATCTATCTATCTATCTATCTATCTATCTATCTATCTATCTATCTATCTATCTATCTATCTATCTATCTATCTATCTATCTATCTATCTATCTATCTATCTATCTATCTATCTATCTGTCTGTCTGTCTGTCTGTCTGTCTGTCTGTCTGTCTGTCTGTCTGTCTGTCTGTCTGTCTGTCTGTCTGTCTGTCTGTCTGTCTGTCTGTCTGTCTGTCTGTCTGTCTGTCTGTCTCTTTCTGATGTCTTATCTCTTTCACCTCGAGGACAGTCTATGTTTCTCGCTGTATGTCCTACCGAGAGTCAGCTTACATCTTCCATATACTCTCTTAGTTAGTTAGTGACTGGAACTTCAAAAGCCTTTGCAAAAGCAACTCTATCTATACCGCTTTTTTCTGTTTATTATTTTCCTATGCAATTTTACATTCGTTAGTTTGCCATTTGAACACATGGCACGATTGCTGGAGAGCCGGGTTCGAATCCTCTGTGAGGCACAGTCCATGTCGACAGCACTATCCATACGACACTGAATCCTCGGGCTCAGTGAAACTCTCCCCACCCCCAAGCCCCCCCCCCCCTCAACCCCACCCCTTTTTCCGTTCTGTTTTACTTTTCTCCCGCCTACACCGCAAAAGTAGCAAAAGGAAGCTGTAATTGTAGTTTTTTTTTCAGTTTGTCATGGCCCTGACCGGTCGACTCTCTATTTTGTCGAAACCAACGCAAAGCGATCTGCAGCCAAATAGCTCGCAGCTGGAATAGAACTAGTCATCTCGGATTGATGAAGTTCGTACGCAAAATCTGAGCCACAGACGTTGACACACTGTTATTCCTAGTACTATATATTGTTTAATAGTGCTATATATTGTTTACTATTACTATATATTATTTACTAGTATTATATATTGTTTACTAGTACTATATATTGTTTACTGGTATTATATATTGTTTACTAGTACTATATATTGTTTACTAGTACTATATATTGTTTACTGGTATTATATATTGTTTACTAGTACTATATATTGTTTACTAGTGCTATATATTGTTTACTAGTACTATATATTGTTTACTAGTACTATATACTGTTTACTAGTACTATATATTGTTTACTAGTACTATATATTGTTTACTAGTACTATATATCGTTTACTAGTACTATATATTGTTTACTAGTACTATATATTGTTTACTAGTACTATATATCGTTTACTAGTACTATACATTGTTTACTAGTATTATATATTGTTTACTAGTACTATATATTGTTTACTATTATTATATATTGTTTACTAGTACTATATAATGTTTACTAGTACAATATATTGTTTACTAGTACTATATATTGTTTACTAATACTATATATTGTTTACTAGTACTATATATTGTTTACTAGTGCTATATATTGTTTACTAGTACTATATATTGTTTACTAGTACTATATACTGTTTACTAGTACTATATATTGTTTACTAGTACTATATATTGTTTACTAGTACTATATATTGTTTACTAGTACTATATATCGTTTACTAGTACTATATATTGTTTACTAGTACTATATATTGTTTACTAGTACTATATATCGTTTACTAGTACTATATATTGTTTACTAGTATTATATATTGTTTACTAGTACTATATATTGTTTACTTTTATTATATATTGTTTACTAGTACTATATAATGTTTACTAGTACTATATATTGTTTACTAGTACTATATAATGTTTACTAATACTATATATTGTTTACTAGTACTATATATTGTTTACTAGTGCTATATATTGTTTACTAGTACTATATATTGTTTACTAATACTATATATTGTTTACTAGTACTATATATTGTTTACTAGTACTATATATTGTTTACTAGTACTATATATTGTTTACTAGTACTATATATCGTTTACTATTATTATATATTGTTTACTAGTACTATATATTGATTACTAGTACTATATATTGTTTACTAATACTATTTATTGTTTACTAGTACTATATAATGTTTAATAGTACTATATATTGTTTACTAGTACTATATATTGTTTACTAGTACTATATACTTTTTACTAGTACTATATACTGTTTAATAGTACTATATATTGTTTACTAGTACTATATATTATTTACTAGTACTATATAATGTTTACTAGTACTATATATTGTTTACTAGTACTATATATTGTTTACTAGTACTATATATTGTTTACTAGTACTATATAATGTTTACTAGTACTATATACTGTTTACTAGTACTATATATTGTTTACTAGTACTATATATTGTTTACTAGTACTATATATTGTTTACTAGTACTATATATTGTTTACTAGTGTGACAATACGCTCGGTGACTCCAGAATGTCTTTCCCCAACCTACTTTTATTACTTTGTATTTTGAAAGTATGCAGAAAAATAGGGATTAGGATACATCCTTAATCTAAGTAAGACGACCACATCAAACCTTTAATTCTCCTGGACCGTTGGTCATATCAAACACTAAAACTTTTTCCCAGATGTTAAGTGTTAAGGTACAGAGATAAGACTGACCAAGCAGACTTACTGACTGGAGATTTGCACACTATTTGTTGGTGTCAGATATTTATCTTCTAGCCAGACCTTCAGGAACAGATAACAAGGGCTAATTGCCATTATCTCCCCCTGAGGTTACCTAAACTGGAGTGCCGGTCAGATCGTCAATATTGACACAGTGAGCTGAAAGTGTTGGCAGAAGAATTGACAGTCTGATTTTATTGTGATGACAGGTGAAGTAGACTGGAGGTGTGACTTGGCCTATTAGCTTTGACCAGCTTAATTGACCAGGAGATCCTAGCGTGGGAATGCAAACAATTGTTGTACAGTCACTGACTGACAGTGAATATACACCCACGGGGAGGAGCTGTGACATCCTTGAATGAGAATGATTTTAGGCGTAATGTAGGAGGAGCTTGATAAAAGTTATAAAGGGGTGAACTCTAGGTCTGGTAAATGAGATCCTGTCCAGCACATGCCATCTGTTGTGCTTAACCTAAGCTTGAGACAGAACTTTTGGCATCGTGGTTTCATTTTTCCAGGTAAGATCGAAATTAGGTTTAAATCTATATCTTATGATAGAGATCTAACTGTCTTTTTACTCAAGTGTGTGTCTTCATCACTTTGTAGTACTCCTAGGCGGACATTTCTTCATTCTCGTAGGGCACTGTCACATTGCTTTATTTCCTATTTGATAGTGTCATGAATGTTTTTCGTGCACATGTGTTTTAATGTTGTAAAACCTAAATGTTGTTGTTGCCATTGAAATTTAATGAACTATCATGTTTTTGAAATCAACAGCGTGAAGATAACTTTGGCAATCTTGTCACGTGTGGTTAATGTGAATCTGTATTACATACAGCTAACACACTGAAATGTGTTTAACTCTCGGGAGGCTAATGCGGAGATTGATCCCGGAGAGTAAATCCACGAGATTTGTTATTTGATTCGCCCCAAAACTATTGTTAGCATTCTGGGCGCGTCGATTGTTCCAAGCATAGATTCCAGAACTGGTTCTGTCTGACTGATTGTCATTTTGAGTCTGTACGAGAGATGGCACCTGACGTAGAAGATTTGACTATCATTACAGGACGTGTAGAGGAAGGCAGAAGATGTAACAGTTGGAATGTGAGACATAAGCCCTTCCAAATTGGACAGGAGTGAATGTGAGCATGAGGGAGAGATGAAATGTTTTATTTAAATAAACATGCTTGATGTTAGTATAATATACATGCTTAGTGTACATCTAGAGCAGATACTTCAAATATGCGCTTGTTTCTTCATTCTCCAGTTCCCACATTGGGCAGGGACTAGTAGGCATCCATTATTTGCCGACCGTCGAGTGTAACGACCTGCAGAAAGCAGTGAGGACGACAAACTGGAAAAGATAGGCAGGGTCTCAATCCGAGAACTGTCCGACGGTGAATTCTCCTACTAGGAGTTAAGTATATGTACAAACTGTCATCAATCACACTCCCTCAACTCTACTAGCCTAAACAAGTTCATTTTATTTTAGTCAGATTTATTCAAATTAATCATGTTTGATGTTGTTACCACATAGTTGAGTAAATTGTGTACTTAGGTTAAAGTGTCTTTGTGCATATTAGTTTACTTCAGCTTACAAATATTTAAATCACTTGATGGGGGCTTTTAAGTAATGCCAGGAGAGGAGAGCAGTCGGAGGGGTTAAATGAGCACCTGGATTATATCACAGTGGGTGTATCCAGATATCTATCTATCCCTTCTCCTACTCCTGTGGATACAAGTTCAGCAACTTTAATTTCATGGAACGAGCCACTCGCTGTTTTCTTGGCTATCCAGGACTGTCTAGGATCAACATAGCTTAGATATTAGTCCAGTTTCTCACGTGGGTGGGCATTGTTAAGGTTCAAACCCACACCCTCACTATATCAGTGTATTTACCCACGTGGGCGCGCGACAACTAGTACTATATACTGTTTACTAGTACTATATACTATTTACTGGTACTATATATTGTTTACTAGTACTATATATTGTTTACTAGTACTATATATTGTTTACTAGTACTATATACTGTTTACTAGTACTATATATTCTTTACTAGTACTATATACTGTTTACTAGTACTATATATTCTTTACTAGTTCTATAAACTGTTTACTAGTACTATATAATGTTTACTAGTACTATATAATGTTTACTAGTACTATATACTGTTTACTAGTACTATATAATGTTTACTAGTACTATATACTGTTTACTAGTACTATATACTGTTTACTAGTACTATATACTGTTTACT